TATAAAAAACAATAATTATCAATTTGAGTATACTAAAGTTTTAAATAAATACCAATTTTTTATGTGTATTCTATCAATTAAATATTATCTCTTGTAAATTATTGACAATGGAATCTGTGTTCAACCAACAAATATTTGAAGAAACAATTATAGCAAACTATTTCTAAACACATTTCTACACACATATAAATAAAGATATTTTCAAAACACGAATATTTCTTTTTCTGTGAATAATCGTGAGTTGCTTCGGAAAAAATACTGTGGCTGAATTAGCGAGCCGTATTACTTCGCAATGTGTACAAATCACCTGTCTTGCAACTAGGTACTTTGTGCGGCCAATCGCAGACCGTCGTAAGAGGATTGAAAGCTGTTCCAGGACCACAGTCCATCACGAAAGTAGCGCCATTCGCACATTGAAGGAATTTTTTGCATGTCTCCGGATGGGGCAGTAATCCAGTGAAATCCGCAGGACACGCAATTCTTTTTCCTTCGGTATACTTCAACTTGTCGTGTGCATAAGGATACGTCTGCAGATTGGGAGGTGTTTGCGGCACTTTAACATCCTCTTCGGATTTGAAGGTATCTGCAGTTTTAAGCGAAGCAATTTGTAATGAAAGCTTCTGCTGCATCAAATTGTTCTTTCGAAATTCAGATTACTCCTTCGAAAAAAAAGTATTGATTTTCTGTTACCTTCGCAGCCTTTTACATTGCGCGGCCAATCGCACACACTAATAGCGGGATTGAAAACGGTTCCAGGACCGCAATCCATAACGTAGGTTGCACCGTTCGTGCATTGCAAAAATTTCGTACAATCTCCATGATGCCGCAATAAACCCGTTATATAAGGTGGACATTTCGGCTCCTGTCAATTAAGTGGACTTAATTACAATGCGAATTTTATTTGACATTTGAGTTACCCGCATCAATTAAGTTAAATATTAATTTCGTGATTGATTAATTTCAATCAATTAGAAAAATTAAATCTTTGAATTTATAATCAAAATAATTCAATAATAATAATATAAGGAATCATTTGACTATTGAGGAAAACGTACTTGTAACTTCTGCGAATGTTGGTCGACTTGAGATTCGGAGTAGACTAGTTTCCTGTAATAAGCGGGTTCACTCTCGTAGCACCTCACTTTGTGCGGAAAGTCACACTCCAAAGTGTCAGGATTAAAGTGAGTGCCCGGGGCGCACGGTTGAACAAACGCGCGGCCTTTCCAACAATTAACGAAGAACTTACAGTCGGGTGGATAAACAAATTGGCCTGTAGCGTTATGATCGGGACACTGCACGCCAAATTGGGGATCGTACCAAGCCACAGTGTGCTGTGGTTTTCGAGAAAGAAGTATATTCTCCTTACGCGGTTTCTGTGCACAAGAAAAACCTGCATGAGGAACTCGATTCCCTATTATTTATCTGTAGGGAATTTGTTATTCGGTTGATGCCATTGTAGTGAAAATACGGCGATCCTATTTCTGACTTATTTCTAGTAAACTTTATTTCATATGTCTAATGTATTTTTTATAATCTCATCTCTAATACCACAGTTAGATTCTGAAAATGTTCGGAGAATATCATAAAAGTAGATTGTGTATATCCCCTGAATCGATTCCCTATCGCGTATCGTGTCATGTTGCCTCTTACCAAATAATATCTCGACAACACGAAACAAATTATGAGCTTGAATACACTGAGAAAAAAAATCTAAGAAATAAAAAATAGTTTTTTAAACAATTATTTTTTTAAAAATAGTTTATATTTTTGATACGGGTACTAATAATATATTTATTTATATTAAAATATTTATATTAAAATATTTTTTAAATAAGGAGATATATATTTTCTTAAAAACGGGAACATTGGGGTCGAAATCTTTATTGACAGAATGTTGACTTTTTCCTGAAAAATTTACGTTGTATTGGGTGCACAGTGTTACAATTGCTTTTACACGATAAAAATACATGCGAGCATAAATTGAAGCATTGCTCGATATATAATAAAAACATTACAAAGTTTTAATGTTAACATTTCGAGTGTAAATTAACTTACCGAATATTACTATATACCGAATGTAAGTTTGCTCCGCTCAAAAAAATATCAAAGAACATTGCTGCATCTTTACATTGGAATTTAATGGCTTAAAAATATCGGAAAAGTTTGCAGAAAAATTGCTACATATGCGTGATAAGGTTTTTCGCTAAAACAGAGCAACACACATTCTCGACCTATATATACAAGAAGTACGAAAAGGATAGCGTGATTGTGTTAGTGATGATCGTTTCTGCGTTATCGACATTTTTGAAGTTCGTCGACGACTTCAGCATCGTTTTAAGGAGAAGTCAAGATGGATGACAAAGTCCAAAAATGTCAATAATATGAATATATTGTCGACATATCATGCTAGGTAAGCTTTCAAACGATCGCTCTATCCTTTTCGTATTTCTTAAACATATAGATAAATATGTGTTGCTTTGTTTTACTATTTTATGGATGCGCTCGAACAGCACACTATCAATGTTATCGCGTTCTTCTATCCTTATCACTCCATGATATACAACAAAGATAGAATAACACGGTACTGTTAAAGAGCGCTACTAACGAGCTCCCTGATATACATACATCGAAATCTTTTTCTTTCAAATTTTCTTTTCATATATTTTCAAGCTTCTAAATTCAGTTGTAAACATACAGCAATGTCGTTTGAAATTTTTCTGAACGGAGTAAACGTACTTTCACAAGTGTGTACAAACTACAGAAACTTTGTATCTTTGTAAATATTTACGCTAATTGACAGCTCGAAACATCACTTTTGAAATTTTTTATCGTCTTTGCCATATATCGAGCAATGCTCTAATTTATTTTTGCATATACTGTCATTGAAGCACTTGCAATTTCGTTTTAGCAATACGATGTAAACGTTATGGAAGAGTTAGTATTTTGTCGGTAAAGTTTTCAATAAAATATGGCCTAAATATCCTCTAAAAACCTGAGCTTTCCATGAAAACAATTATTTATTCTATTAAACTGTATCAATATTTTAGAGTCTGTATCAATAATTCAGAGTTAGAATGAAAGTTTTCCAACTTGAATCGCGATTAAAGATGTAAATGTCACATAATTATTATATAATTCATCCGAATAACTTGGATCTAACTCTGAATAAAAATCTTGCATGAAAGTATCTCTCATGAGATAAGTTTTAAGTGACAACTACTGGTAAAAAGGGCCTAAAAGAATTTACTCAAGTAAACATGTCATTACTACCCGCCGAATAAATATTTTTTATTTTCCAGATATCTTTTTCTCTCGCTGCAGATAATACAAAAAAAATTAAAACAGAGGAATAATATCGAATAAAATTAATGACGTCGAATAAAAACGAAATATTCTAGTAAATAAAAACCCAACTTAGACACGATGAGAAAACAAAATTACCGTGCTGTCGATAGGCACGCCTTCGTATACATCATCATCCTCAAGTTCCACGGGTGTCTCTTTGCCATCGTCGTATCTCGGCTTGTTCTCAAAATCAATCATATTCTGCGACGGCCTACGGTTTCCATATTTCGAATCAATAGGGAAGCCGCCGCGATTTTTATCGGAGTCGACCGATTCCTCTTGTCGGAGAGGCGGCTTCAGACTTTCCTGTTGTTCCCATTGATCGAGTTCAGAAGGACGCTGTCGCTCGGGTACTTGCGACCCGGGCGGGTAATCCTGAGTGTTGACCTGCGTTCTTTGTTCGATCTCGCTGGCCGGATTTTTTCGCCAAGGACTCCAACTCCCTATAGGAGGCTCGGACAAGATATCGGTATGTGTTTGCCATGGCTGAACACGGGATGGTTCCGTCTGAATCGTAGTCTCGTTTTCTTTACTCGCCGAATGCCAAGATAGAATCGCCTCGCGACGCTCAGACGGTTTGGTAGTGGTAGCTCTTGGATCATAGATCTACAATAGCAAATATTACACAGGCGGAAAACAAGCACACACAATTAATCGACACGTAAGTCAGCCACTTGTGACAAACGCCACGATCGCTTTTTCAATAATGCTCTCGTTCACTTGCACGAGAATATTCACCCCAGATTACGTTGTGTTCTTACGTACACTAGGATTAATATCTAACGAAATCTCTGTTGAAATTTCGGACCACTAATCCTAATCACGCGGTACAACGTGCCATGCAAATTGATATCGTGCGTCAGAGACGCATTATGTATCATAAAAAATCGCACGCGCGTGTTTTCAGATCAATGCAGGAATAGATCCAGCGATTGTGTCAACAATCTCATTGTGACGTCTGTTCATGCAATGAATTCAAGCAGAGGAAAAAGAGATGTATGTGTGTGTGTGTATGTGTGTGTGTATGCATGGAAATGACACATGTGTGCTCGGGCTTTATCTAAAACAAATTACGCATTTGCGTGGCCTGATATCGCCACATAATATAATTGCGAATTCGTGTTGGGTTTCGAACATATGTCGTTATATAACGCGCACGATTTCTTCGTCAATATAACGGAGCAAAGTATTTTCGAATCCGACTTGTTAACATCACACGCACACATAATTATTATGTCGATAAGTAAATCAAGAGTGACGCATCTAACACGTATCGAAATCGGTAGTTTAAAGGTCGTACGAGAAGAGTGTGCTGGCCATTGGGAAATATCGAGGAGATGCCGAGAGAGACTGTGAAGAGCTCGCACTTGCAAATCGATTCGCGTTTCCGTACCCGTTATCAGCGTTATCGTCACAAATCGTACGTTTCATAGCCGACGAGACGTTTTCCGCGACACCAGAATTTGACTACGCTTCGCCGTGTGCTCCGGGTTCGAAATTGCCAGCTTAAATCCCAGTTTAAACTCGGATTTTTGATAGTGTGTTAAACACTCGACAAGAAGGACGGACTGCTTGAGAGTGGCTCGACGTACGGTGGACTGCAAAATGGCTTAGACACAGTGAAGTTGGGCGCATGCCAAACTGTCAAGCTTGACAGTCATGTCATGACGGACATACGCAATAATAATGCAATAATAACAATGCAATTAAGAACATAATAATAAACAACAATAATACTAATAATAATTCATAATATGATTACTAGGCAAACTCGCCAATGACTTTTAAGTTTGACTTTTAAGTGTGCTCCCAACTTGATTGCGTCTAAACCGTTTTGCGAACGCACTGCACACGCACACACCACCTGGAAAAAGTCACCCACAAAGAAACCACCCCACCACGTACCGCGTTCACGAAGATGATGAAATGGATAAGGCAGAACGCGATGAGCAAACGATTAAACGCCGTCATTTTCAACACCTCCACGATAGACCGAGCATCGTACTATACTGAAGCTCCTCGTAAAATCGCGACACCGTAGCCGATCGGTGCAGCTTTACTCTGAAGCAGATAGCTGAGAAAACAAGCAATGGAATTCACGGAAGACTAAAGGTTATCGGGAGAACAGTCCCCGGGTTATCCCAAGCTGAGAAATGCTTGAGGAAAAAAGGGACGAACGGAAGAACAGCATGATGAATAATGATGAGAAAAAAAGAAGGAAGATAAAGAAAGAGAGTGAAGAAGAAGAAAATTGACCTGCTAAGCTTGTTTTCTCACGTACACAAGAGAAGACGTCGGCCCGTACACATGCGAGACGACGACGCGACGAACAAGCGATTACAAACACAACTATTTGCCAATTGACGATGAGGCAAGCGTGCAAATTCGACGCTCGTTAACGATTATTATCGCGAGTCGGCCTAATTAAAGGGACGGCGACGCCGCGACGAAGGACGAGGACAGAGAACATCAACAATGCGCGGGTGCAACAAATGAACGGGATTGCTGTTCTATCGCAGCATTTTATTTGAGCTCCTTCGAAACCTCGTCACGAAGGGGAAATACATTTACGATACACATCGGCGATTTCAGCCGCGTCGCGATTTCCGCGAGAGCTTGAAGTCGCAGTTAGAGGAGCCACGCGCCCGATGAGTGCAAGTGGAGGTCATCGGGTCGAAGAAGTAGGTGGGCTCGCACGTCTCCAGCTTGCATCTACCCTCGCTGCACATCACGTACTTCCTGCAGTCATCCTGATACGCCGATACCGTATAAGACTTGCCGTCCTGCACAAGAAATCGAAAAAAGAGACCGATGCAACAGGGTCCATAAAATAAGCATGTAAGGTTAAAGTATCAATGCTTGGACTCTAGTAAGACTATCTAACTCTGGTAGCTAATTCTGGATATTCTTATTGATATTGTTTCGATCTTTAAAAATATAAATTTAAATATATATTTTTAAACTTTTTAAATATAAATTTAAACTTTTAACGTAGAATACATATATATTTTTTTTTTATATTGAAAATTTAAATATTCGTATTTGAAGACCAAAACTTATGAAAAAGAAAGAAAAAACAGCAGAATGTACAGTGTTAGACAGCAGTGTTATTAATATCAGGCAATGATACTTTTACCTTACTGAAAGCAAAAACAAGAAAGGAAAAATTATTTGTCCGGTGAGTACCAATATATTTATTTTTGGACATAAACTTTTTATTAAAATAAATACTAAATTTATTTATGTGACACTAAATTTATTATTTAAATAGATTGTTAAATTCTTTTATTATTAAACAGATTGCAACAATAATTGCTTTCATAAAAAGCTGCGGAGCTATCAAAAAATATATTTTTTTTTTTTCATTTGAAAGAAATTTTCCCTCCGTCTAAAAATATGTAAAAATATGTTAGTTAAATATGTTAGTTAAATATGTTAGTTAGTTTATTTTGTAAACATTTTTGCTCTCAGTGTAAAGAATAAAGAATGATATGTAGCAAGCAATTTCACTAAACGTATTCAATCGCATTTCATCAATCATGAGTGAAGATTAATTATTTCATTCTCATTAATTTATTTTTCGCAACTTCTAGTGCGTTACATCATATTCGCGCTTTCCCATATGTAAAACATTGTGATAAAAATTTACAAAATATAACATTATACTCTTCCACGTACTCGCGAGAGCATCAAAGGAGAGTACATTCAAGACGAGGTTTCCACAAACTCTTGAGTCGATTAAGTTCGATCGGAGTTTAATCGATTTCTCGCTCTTTCATCAAAGTAAAACTAGAATAGTACGAAGACTCGGTTAACTTACGATTAAAGTTAACCGACGTTACAGAACAAACATTAAATCTTTCACTTGCTTGTTCAAACAACAAACCGCGGATGAGGTAAACCACTAGATGCAATTATGAATTCTATTGCAATTACAACATTTCAGAAATCAAAGTATAAAACTAGCTATAAAACACCCAGTAAAGTAAGAAAGAAATAAAGTAAGAAAATTACAACAAAAGTGGATTAAACAAAAGTGGATTAAAATTACAACAATAGGATTAAAGATGATATAAAATAACAACTAAATATTATTTCCACATAGAGAAAAAAATATTATGTCAACATTAAAATTAAGAAGTTTTTAATTATGTCGCTGAAAAAATAACAGAAATATTATATCATAACTTTAAAATGTTACCTTAAACAACAAGCATTAATACAAATTTTCTCTTGATTAATTCAAAATTGCCTTGTGTGCAGTAAAATTAATATCAATTCAATATCTATTAAAATATAATTTCCTCATCATTTTAAGCTGACGTTTTAGTAATACTAACATGCTACTTTTCCATAGAAAAAACTTCTATCGGAGCACATATCGCAAAAAGATGAGTTAAAACCGTCCAAAAGACGTCTAAAAGAAATAGGACAGCTTTTGGACATATTTTTTAAGACATATTTTAATAGATTGTGCTGTCTGGGTTTACTATAACGTTGTACTCCTGTGCAAAAAAAACTTAATTTGTTGATAGATTATAGTAACAATTCAATAATAATAACATCGACTTCGTTGCTACATGGGCACCTTCAGTGTTTTAAGAACAGACAAGTCGTGCTCGGAAAATCGCGGAAAGTCGCACTCACCACTCTTATCCTCTTGGAAGCGGCGGCGAGGTGGCAACAGCACACCAGAAGCAACAGGGTCAGCAGTCGGAACCACATCCTCGTGCGATCTTAAGGATCTATTCAACGGCAATTACGAACGTGGTCGATAGATCGTGATATTTATTCGCAGGTCACACGTCCAACCTCCTGGGTGAGAGTGATGCCAGCGCTAGCGCCGATCGCCGTCGTCAACGCGGAAACTACGTTGTTCCCGAACGCAATGTTCGCCACGTACGATAGGACGAAGTTTATCTGCTGTGAAAAACCGGTTATCTGCTCGCTGCGCTACGACGAAGGTCGCGCCCGTCTCGACGTGATACTCTCTTCGCGTCCGTGCGCGCCGGACACCGTTTGATCGCCGCCCACCGCCGCAGCTCTCGTCGTCGCATCTCGTCGCTGACGCTATCATGAGCGACGATGATAGCTGTACCGCAATCGTCGCTCCCGATGCGCGCCAGATTGCATTTCCGCAGAGAGCCCGCGTCCGCATTATCAATCCGCGTGCGAAAGTGCTCCATTTCAATCCCGCCGCTTGGCTCGATTTCGAATTTGCCGCGGCGATACATCGATCGTCATAACGCACCGCGAACGATCGCTCGAATTTTCAATGGTGTGCTTGAAAGATCACGCTGAAATTTATGCGACAGTTTGAGCAACCTGAGAGATTTCTGGAAGTTTCAATTTATATTATGGAAACGACGTGTGATAATTAACATAATAGCAACAATTATAATAATAGATAACTTATACAAGCGCGGAAAGTATATGTTACACTGAGAAAAAATATCTAAGAAATAGTAAATATATATTCGGTAGTATAATTTAATAAAACGTATTCACTTATACTAATAGAAAAAATATATATTTTGCAAATATATATTTAAAATATATATTTTCTTAAAACCTTAGGAATATCTTAGCTTTTCATGAAAACAATGATTTATTCTATTTAAACAAAAGAATTGAGATTTAAGTAAACATGTTGTATTACTACTCCTTCGTCGAAGAAATATTGACTATTTCTTAAATATTTCTTTTCGTAAGTGTAGATTAAATACACTATAACAAAATTTCGACGTAAAATCAAAATTCTTAACGGGCGTATCCAAAATGAGTGCAATTTACACATAATGTTTTATAAATTCGCAAAAACGAGAGAATGAAGTATGTCTTCTTATGTTAGTAATTTTATTATTCTAACTTTATTATTCGAAATAATGATGTAATATTAATTATATTTTGATCCAGTTTTTATATACGATACTACAGTTTTTATATACGTAACTCTTTATTTATACAAATATAATAACAAGTATTTAGCCGTTCAAACACAACAAACATGATGTTTTTTTCGTCGGGAAATTACAAAATGATTCAGCATCTTACGAAATATCACTCCTAGACTCGAAGCTCGAGGCTCTCATCCGCGATTACCACATCCTGAGCGATCCCTCAAAGGATAATCGCAGGTACCGATAGCTGGATTGAATTCTGTTCCCCTACCGCAGCTCATAATAAAGCAACCGCTCGCGTCGCATTGTTGATACTTGCTGCAGTCGCCCGGATAGGACAATACATATGCCTAAATGAACAAATCATTCAATTAGCCCTCAGCTCTACGGCAAAGAAGAGAGAACGAGTCGGATGAATAAAAGGGAGCATTTCCTTCTATAAGAGGCTGCAGCGAACGCTATGAGAACGGACGCGTGTAAAGAAGGGTATGTTCTACCTCCGAAAGCAATTGTTCCTACAAAAAATAATCGTTAATACTATCTGTTAATATTATCTGTGACATTTTTTATATGTTTTGTAATTGAAAATGGAGATTTAAAAATGTGTATTACACGCGCGCGCACACGCGAAAACCGATTATATATATATATATATATATATATATATATATATATATATATATATATATATATATATAT